ATTTCATCTTTTCCCTTCCAAACTGAAATAAGTCACCGAGGCTGAAGACCGACAGTGAATAAACTGAGTTGCCCACGCCTGTCAGACTGCCTGCGCTCTGCTCTTCTCATGCTGACCCTATTAGTTTTGACTATTAAAAAGCAGCATTGGGCCATGTCAGCTCTTGGGTGGGAGACTGCCAAGGCACACTTCCATGCTGCTGGCGTTTGAAAGATTGATAATGATCCTGTGTAATACTTTTTTTTCCCTTTAACCCAGGCAGTTCTGCACGAGGGTCAGTTCTGTGGTGCTACGTACCCTGTCTTGTAACATGAGGTGTAAAACTAAAACCCTGGTTGCCTATGGATGTTAAAAAAAACCACGGCACTGTTTGCAAATATGCAAGAGATTACAGCAGGCTGGAAGTGGCCACACTGGTAATTCTATTCGGCCAACATAAATTCTCCCACTGTAACAACATGGAATTTTTCATATTTTTTCAACTCAAAGCATAAACTTTACAAAGTCTTGCTGCAAAATGCTCATTAGCCATCAAATATCTTTATGGAGTAGCACTTGTTTTACAACAGAGGAAAAAAGGAAGTTTGTTCTATGGTCTGTGAGACACTGAGGCTAGTTTAGGATAAAAGCTCTAACACATCAGTTTGCTACAGCAGAAAATTAATAGAGATAGCATGTCTGTTAGTGGCATTTCAAACTATCAGCCTCTTCATCTACCAGTGGCTCTTCCCAGACTGCCTGCTCTGTTGTACTTTATTCTCCCACCCATTACTACAAGATGACACCTTGGAATTTTTCAGTTTTTCCTATTAACTAAAAGACTTGCTCCTCCCAGGAGGCTGGGAAGAACCTGATATTTCAGTCTTAAATTTGACTCATGTTGGCATAGCTTTCAGGTGCAGCGGTTTTCCTTGTATTCTGCTTTGAACCCAGCTTGCTGTGAACTTCTGTTGTGGTAGTTTGGACTAAGGAAAGTTCCAGGCAGCAGAAACAGAATTGTCTAGATCCCATTACAAAATTGCTCCTAAACAAATCCATAAAAGGCTATGACATAGCAATTCAGGGCTTATCACTGCCTGATCTGCTCCACAATTTAAAGGCAAAATATCCATATACATACACAAATATGCATATATGTCTATCTGTACACGTTCCTTGCCACAACACAGTTGGATAAGAAAAGCAGCATCCTTTTGACCTGCACATCCTGTCATCATCCTGGCCTCCCTTTACTTCTTCCTGTAGCAAGAAGAGACAGCCACATCACACAAAGCAATTTCATCCCAGAAACATAAGATACCCGGTTTGAATCCACAAATTTAAGTCCATAGTCTTAAGTTGGTTGGTGCTGGTCCCTCTCACTCTGACACGAGATGCTGGCCAGGAAACGAACTCTAAAACAAAGATGCAGGTTTGGCAGAGCACTCTTTACTGAGTTCAGTGTCAGTTTTTCTAAATCAAGATGGAATTAAGTAGGCACTTGTCTGAGAAATGTCAGCCTCAGAGAAACCCTGGTAAGCAAAGGCCCTAAGAGTTTATCAGTACATTGTGGTATGTAAAGTGGAAAGTTGTTTATAAGGTTTCTATGCATACACTTATTCCCACAGTTACACACTAATAAATTTTTCATCAGCTTGACAGAGAGAGATGAGAGAAACATCAAATGGCTCGTGGAGCTGAAGAGCACACCACTGTCATCTACCTGGTTACTTTCATCACATTTTAATATTTTACAGCTTTCCTACAGATCCCAGTGAACTTTACCAAGCCAGGACTCAGATCTACAGACGTAACTTCATTTTGATTTACCTGAGATAGAAAAATGGATTTCTATCATTCAGCTGTAGAGAAGTCAGTGCCTTTCTTTTGTTTAGTCCAGCTTATAGAAATAACTGCATCTCTTTCAGAAAGAGAACACAGAGCATTCAGCAAAAGGCACTTTGAAATTGTATTGCCTGTTTTTGAGCACTGTTCTGAGAGCCTGATGCAGAAGCAAGCAAATTCAATGGCTTCTCAGTTTCAACAGTCTTTGGATCAGGTTCTAAAGGGTTATTCTTTACGCTTCTTCTAATGCTGTGTCATACTCAGAATGCAGAGCCAAAAAGAACAAATTTTACGCATTTGGCTTTGAATATAGAATGGGATCTTAAGTAGTATATACATTCAGCTTAATTGCAGTCAAAGAAAGTTTTTATCATTAATGGAGGAGCAAAAAGTACACCAACGTACACCACTTTTCTAAATCTCATCCATACATCTCTATGATGGAAGAACCAGCACATACACTACTATCAGTACATGCAATTAGTGGCAGCATGCACAAAGAGGTATACCCTAACTGGATGCTGGAAAAATACATGAACTGGTTATCTGTATGTAGAAGTACATGAAAAAAATACTACAGAGTGGCACGATTATATCTGGGTGCAACTGCTATAAAAAGCCTTCGTATTACCCTTACTTCTCCGAATAAATTCAAATGACAGCCCCATTTCATTTCTTCATTCAGTCTGGAGGCCAGATGGCATTAGAATCATTTACTTCACCTTGTTGTGCTTAATTACTACAATCAACACACTATTTTCCAAATTAATCATAACAAAGTAATTTCATTAGTAACACAGCAGGCTGTTGAATTATTAGCATCATAACAGTTTGCAAACAATTAAACTTTATTTGAACCTTAAAAATTTGCAGAGTTGAACATTATTGTAAGATCTAATGGCAGTATAGTACAAATCCAGAACAGAGCAAATAACCAAGTAAAATGCTGTACAGAATATGACTCGCAACACCTCGAAAACATTTGCTTACTGTTCACACAAAGGCAAGCGCAACCTCGGTAAACAATGAAAATAAAGCAATTAGCATTTTGTACCACTGGGGTTTGTTTAAGTTGTATTCACAGAGGTTTTCTTACCCAAAAAAGGTTATGGTATTTGCACAGATTTCAAGTAACCAATTCATCCGTGGTCCACTGCTGGTTTATACCCAGACACTTCAAGTGAGTTTCAGGACATCTTTCACATTTCGGATTTTAAGGCAGTTTGTTTACAGCCACACATACATATGTCCTAAGGGAGTGAGGGGAGCTCTAAAGCAGAACTACAGACAAAAGACACTTCATTTCTCCTGCTGCCACCACCCAGGGGAGCAGGCTCTGGGCCGGCCCCACACCCATCGCTTGGGTAAGGACTCCCTCTCCTGGACATACGGCAGAAGTGGCGGAAAAGGGAAGGGGCGGGCTCCTCCTCACATCATAGTCATCCTCCTCATCCTCCTCCTCCTCCGCCTCCTCCTCCTCATCCTCCTCCTCCGCCTCCTCCTCCTCCTGTGATATGAAAATTTGCTGCCACCTACCGCTGCGGGCGCGCAGGGCAGCGCGTAGCGCGCAGAGCCGCCCCTTCCCTTCCCTTCCCCCGGTAGCGCTGGGACCCCGCTACCACCTCCGGCTTCCCACTCGGCACCGCTATCCCCCCATCCCTCCTGTCCCAGATCGAGTTTCCCGTGCATACACTTCGTCTCAACGACAGGAGGGGGCTTACTCCAAAAGAGTAGGTGGTGGTGGTGGAATTGGGAATTACGTAATTAATACAAAGACATTTTGGCCGGCAGATTTATTACAGTGCCATATTAACAAGAGAGAAGGAGGTGTTCTAGCCGTGATATTAACGCTTCACATTCTGTACACAATCCACAAGCACACTTGATAAATTAAAGTAGTAAAAGATCTGAAGACCATAATCTATCATTTTAATGCTTCACTGATAACATACAGAATCAATTTCAACGACTATCTCTTCTTTTAAAAAATTACAGCGAGACTCTGTACCTTGTCTGACTCCTATTAGAATCCAGCGTACCATCAAGTACCATACATTAGCTAACATAAAGCACAACATCTCAGTTTACCGAAAGGATCTAATTCCGAGTTCAGACTAACATTACCTTTTAACCCACAGTGTTTCCAGGGCCCGCCTGAAGCGTAAACAGCACAAGCAACTACAAGGGGACCTGCACAGGCTCAGCGATTCGCAGACTGGCTTGACCTGCCTCGTTGGCAGATTAAGGGTCTCACAAATCAAGTGTGTGGGAGGACTCAAAAAAGTTGGTCTTGCCTGCTAATAGCAAAGCCCATCTCCAAAACAAGTATTAACTCTGACTTGCCCAACCCCTTCCACACAAGTGACAGTATTTTAGTGTACTTTTATATGTTTAAACTGATGCTTTTAGCCACAAAGAGCTGGGTTTGACACTGAGAGATATTAAGAATCCTTGTGGAGCTGAAGATGTCTGCTGAACACAACTTACATCACGAATTCCACCTATCAACAAGGTACCCAGATTTTATTGTGAAAGTATCTATAAGGTATAGAGAAAATAGCTCACGCTACCACAGACAAAAATCATTCTTAGCTGCCATTTGCCTCATGTTGACTAAGCAAAAACTGTGGGGTTTAATATATTCTCATTTTTATACATTTTCACATCACTCCTATCTCCAAGTGAGAACGGTATCAGGGCAATATTACCACACAGGCTGATTTATTATCAGCAAAAGAGCCAAGGCTTCATTTTGTGGTAACAAAATAATAATTAACAATGTAATACTGAATATATGAGAAAAATAAATCATTGGCTAAAGCAAAATACAAGAACATTTGGAAAAGAATACCCTGAAGACTTGCAATATTACGCATAAATTTTGCTTGAGTCTTCTAGGAAACTGCACAAAATGTACAGTAAGCATTAAAAGGTTAATGCATGCATGAACTGAGCAACAGTTTTCTACTTTCAAAGTTCAGATTAATTTTTCTAAATCTGAGGAAATTCCCTGAAAGAACTCAAACCCAACGCTGTGCAGAGTCCTGCTAGTATGCTGAAGGAAAAAGCAACAGGCACGATTTGGCTGTTTGTGCCCCATATGTTAATTACCATCTACTTCATTTCCTAGCGCTACAATTCTATAAAAAGTGATGAAGAAGAACATTTCCTCAGAATTATGATCAATTACAGTTTTTAATGTTTAAAATACACAAGGCAACGATCTGGCTACATTTACTGAAACCACAGAATGTGTACGGCAGAATCTTCTTCTTTCGGAGGCCGGGTCTGTAAACTGCAGCTGCACACCACTCCCAAGTGCAGATTTCTCCTGATTAGGAAGAAGGAAGTTGAAAGTTCATCATTAAACAGAAAACCTCAAGCGCGCATGTCAAACCCAGACCAAATATCTATCCCCTTCCACAGTTTTCTGCACAGATACATGCATATATACTAAAGTAATAAAACTACAAAGCACATGAATTCTACTGAAAAAAAAAAATCTGGAAAAGGAACATAGTTATAAAATACATCATCTTTTGTACACTGTGGTTTCATATTTCATACAGAATCCAAGAAAAAGTGCTTTAATTGAACCTTCAATATATTTTGCCATAATCTTTATGTTAACAGGACTCCTGCAAAGGTTCCAGGAAAGAAATACTTATGAAACAGAGAACAAGGGAACATATAAGACATTACAGAAGATTGGATTAAAATGTACTTACCCAGGCCTCTCAAATATCATACATCTCCATTATGTAGGCTTTAGGCACCAAGCCAATGGTTCCCTTCATTTCTCCTACCCACCAGCCAAATCTATTGTACTCCTAATTGAAAACAATATGCAATATTAACCTTTAGTCTCACATAAATGCAATAGAGTTTTGTATGCAACTCCTTATGGATGCTTTCTCTTATATACAGTTACAATCATTTCAACTGAAAATTAAAACATTGTTATCTTTTTGTTGGAGGCATTCACATGCACTGTTAGGCAAACGCAGAAGTTAAGTTTTAAGAAGGCCAGGCATGCTCAGGAAAATGTCTTAATTACAGCCACGCTTCTCTATAACACCTACTAAAAATAGCTGACCTCTATCCTCTATTCATCACAAATAGAAAAACCTTATCTTTGAAGCTAAAATCTAATAGCGCAATGTTGACCTATAAGAATCAACTGGGATTCTTTTAGTACCACAAGGCTAAACTCTGAGAAACTTACAATCAACTTTATTTTAAAAGCTACTTCACTCAGATGTGAAGGGAACGCTATATATCTACTACATAATCTCCTTCTATGGTCAAAGTCTACCCTTGCTTTAGGCTTGCAGAAAATTCTACAGCAGATCTCATATGTCTGACAGATGACTAATGTACTTTTGTTTGAAATTTGTTTAGGCTTAGTGAGATAAATATGAAACAAAATGAATTATAATAGTTTAAAGAAATAATATCTTCCAAAAGCAATACCAAGTATTGTGGGATCCAAATTTAATTTTTTTCCTATGAGGTAAATATTTTAAGATCAATCCTAACAGCAGTTCAATAAATTGTAACAGCTGAAATTGCACACACACATGTATTGAGTTACAAATGAAGCATTATTAAAACAGAGACCCCATTCAAAATTGAATGATTAGTAAGACAGAAATTACTTTGGAACAAACACGGAAAATACGAAATACACAGATATCTCTGGTAAGCAACATCTGCTTCCTGCTACACTGCTCTTCCAATGAGAAAAGCAAAAGGTTGTAGGATTTTGAATTAATGGTCCTACTGAGATGAAGCTATTACTTTGGCTGTAGATAAAGTTTTTTGGTTATAAATAGTCAAGTGGAGCTTAAGGGTTAATGGAGTTTCATTAGAGCCCGAGCTATAATGATTTGCTGCTGGCATATTTGGCCAGGTAGAGAGTTCTCTAGGGTCCTATGAGGTGCTTAGTGTACTCAGCTCTCCCTGTGCTTAACTACAACGAAGCCCTGCTGATGGCCCACTTTCACGTGGGCTCAGGGGGTTTTGTATTTTGTAGGGGTTTTTTTTCCTTTTTATTTGCTTTAAATGCGTTTGCATGCAGGCACACACACACTTTTATGTTTTCTTATTGTGGAAGGGTGAACACCAGTCTTAAATTAAACATTTTCTTCCCTCTCTTCATAGTGAATTGGTGATTTAACAGATTGTATCCTACTACCCATAAAATACTGCAGTAAGCATGCTTTAAAGAAAATCCACATTAAAAAGCAGCAGGAAACCTCTGGTTTTGATGTGAACATACAAATGAGAAAGCTGCAAAAATAATTCCACCTTCTTCCCCCTTCCACTGCTGAATAGACTGCTGGGACTGGGGCTGGTCTGAAAGTCTAGAGGTATCTGGACTTGATCTTCAGTGCAAACTGCTCTTCGTAGAAGTTAAGAACCCCTCATAACTTTTCCCATGGGGGTACACTTTGCACCCCAAATCCTTAAAGGCTAAATAATAACCTGACACTGAGGTTTATAATGTTCCAGATCAGCCTGTTTTAAGATCTGTGGTTTATCTCACAATGCACTGGTTATATATACAAACTGGTTTTCTAAACTGAAGTGGGAAATTGCTGTAGGGAGCAGTACTCATGTATACTACTGGAATCTCAGCAATAAATCTCTCCAAGAGAAAGCAACAAAAGGTCTTAAGCTGTTACATGGAACTCGTGAAGTGACTGACAAAAGTGATTAAGCAAGTTTTGCTAGACGTCAGCCAAAAAAACAAACAATACATGAAATGAGGGAAGGGCTTAGTTAAGCGGTCATTAAATTGCATATGACAAATGGCACAGAAAAAGCATGTAGACTACATTATCCATTGAAAATGTTCCACTTAGCAACACTACATGAACTTAGAAACAATTGTTTTAAAAGAAACAATTCAGATACCTCAAATTAAAATTAAAAGCATGCTGCTGTTTTGAAAACTTTCTGGGTTTTGCTACTTACTAATACACCACTTACTGCTCTGGCATGAAGCTAAGTGAGAAGATGAAATGGATGTTGATGTAACAGACTAGTAAACTAATTTAAGGATTCACTGCAACCATTACACCATACAGACAATATTGCAACACAGAAGCTTTTACTTTACATTACTATTCTTTGCATGGGTCTCAAGAGCAACATGAATCCCAATTAAACTATCTGCAGACTGTAGAAGCCCAAACAAAAATATAATGCGGATACCTCACTACCAAGAATATAAAACCTTAATCTCAGGGTTTAGAATAATTAGATAGCACTCCTTTTCAGACTGATTAAAGTACAGACATTTCTCTTTAAACTCCTAACCACTCCTTTCCGTCCTCACCACCACAAAAGAGCGCTTACTGGTCAGGCAGATAAGCAGTCTCACCGCCATCACCAACCATTCCTTTTTTGAAGTCACATATAAAATCCAAATTGATGTATTGTTTCTATCAACATTAGCAACTATAAACTGCTTTATAGCAATATAATTTAATTATTACACTGCTGTTGTGAGGTCCATATGCCTGTTACTGCTGCTTAAGATGTGTAGAATAAAACCCTAAAGCCCACATTTGTGGGAAAGGATGAATAATACACAGAAGGATACGATTTGGAGTTTTATATGAATTCTTAGGAGTTGGGAATCACAGTGCTTTTGCAAGCATCAGCTTCAGATCTCAGGTACCACCGAGTTTACCATCTGGTATCCTTCACCGCATTCAGCTCTTAACATCACTGCTAACATAGGCAAGCAACTATACTTCAGAAGGACTGATAAAATAATGAAGAGTCCTTTAATCTAAGGAACCATTGTAGTCAATTTATAAGAAATATTGCATCCCTTTGTAGGATGTGTAATTATTTTCTATTAATCATGTGCTATAAAGCTACATTATGTGGTTATTCTGTTATCACTAGAAAGAGGCCTGCAGTCAGCTCCTGACAATGTTAGGTAATTACTAACACAAAGCTTCTTTCTCTGTATGTAGAAATGCTATCAAGATCCAGAGGTGCTGTGATGCTCGCTGTATGAAAATAACTCTCCAAAGAAATTCAATAACTGCAAAATGAATTGCTCCAAGGCAAAGAGAGGGATAGGAGAGGGGGGCAGGGCCAGATCCAGCAGCCCTGCAATGAGGAGAATGCACAAGTGTGCAGCCAGGGCTCTGCCATGTGACTGGGAGCACATTTGCCATACCAGGCAATGTTAGGCAGAGGCAGGGGCAGGAAGGGGCCACCGCAACCCCTGGAAGACAAGCACCAGGGCAAAGGAATGTATTATGCCAAATAACACAAAACAACTACCTTAACAATGACCAAGTGCTTTCTAAGCTACTTCCACTGTCAGAGTGGATTTATTCCCCCCCCCCCCAAGCAGAAATGTATTAACCAAAGTAATTTCACAGTGCAGCAAGGAACAGGTTAACAACATTTAACGTGCTGGCAAAACACTCTATACAGAGCACTATGATAGCAGGGGAAAACAATCCCGTCAGGGTTTACAGGCTCTTGAAATGCTCTCAACTGAACACACTGTGAGCAGATGCTGCTTCTTGTCCCCATCCCACCAATTTCCCTGCACCGATATGTATGTATGTGTGACTCCATGAGACATGGATCGTAAAAGTTTTTGCGCTTGGGGAAAACACAGTAAGGGAGAAATACACTACCTGCTTTTTACAGATACCTTTTAAGTCCACAATTTCTGTACTATGCAGAAGAGAATTTTGATATGCAAGAAGATAAAATTTTTACACTTAAGGGGATTTCCAAAACAGTCTCTACCTTTAGGACAGATCCTCTGCGTAAATGAGGATCTCCAGATGCTTTGCACCATATTAACTTCAGCAAAAGTTGAGAACATCTGGTCCTTATGCAATTGGTCCCTATTGTTCAATACATATGGTATGGTTTTTGTGTTTTGTGGGGTAGGAGTTTTTATTTGTTTTGTTTCTTTAAAAAAGTTGCTGAAAATCATCATTGTGTTTCAATGTCTTGAAGAAAACAATGCAGTTGTATTTAAAGAAACACAACTGAAGTGTGTGAATTCAAGATTTTTCTCCTGTTCTCTTCCAGTGGCACTATAAGTAATATAAACTTACTGGCTGAAGATCTGCAAACTTTAAAACTGAAAGGCAAATGTATCTGTAGGCCTGTTTGGGGTTAAAATAAGTGGCCTCTCCCATCAAGCTAAAGATGTGCAGGAAGCAGGGAGAATTTTTTATTTTTAGTAAGACTATCCTGGGGGCCAATTCTGGCAATAGAATATTTAAAAACATCTCCAATTCATCCAGGAGATTCAGACTAGCTAAAAGTTTTAGAACTTCCTTTGGTGTAATTGCTGGATGATACACTATCAACCAGGGAGCATTTCTGCCACAGAGCAGCATTTCCTCTAAAAAGCAGAAAATGACAAATGTTCTGGATAACTGAATGAGACTTCTTCACAGGTAGTAGAGTTGTTTTAAGACAGCAATAAAATGGTCATCTTTAAGAATGTAAGTCATAGATTTATTGTATAGTTGCATTATTGTTTTATTTCCTTTTATGATGTGAGACAAAATAGACACCAATTAGAAAGTTCCAATATAAAATCAGAGTAAGTAGACTGAATTCTGAACCAAAACTGGCCCCTGAAAACACCTTTAACGATAGAAGGCCATTTTATTTTCCATTAGATAGCACAATGCCAATTTTTTTAAAATCAGTTAGGTATGTGCTTACATACAATCAGTATACAAACCAACAGAGCTACAATCGCTTTGCATTAGTCTGTCCTAACTAACCTTCCATTTAAAGGTCTTTGCTCCTATCTGATGTTTAAACATATACCCATTTTTTTGCCCTGTAAGCAATATACCTAAACAAGCCAGAAGAAGGAAATGTACAACATTGCATTGCATTTTAGTTTTGATCAGAAGCATCCCACTAAAGTGAATCTCCCAGTGCTCTACTTTGCCCACCTTGGCTCAATTTACAGAGCCATCAGTCTCAGAGGACCCATGCTACATTTCTTTCAGAAGCTAAAATGAAAGATGCACTTCAGTACGTTCCAATCACTAATGTGTTCTCATTCACTAAACCAGGCTGGACCTCTTTGGACATCAAAGCCCTTTGAAAACACACGGTGTGGACACCAGCGCCTCAGCACTAAGTGCTTCACTCTGCAAATCTGCTCCTATTGGTACTCCCTATTTGCTAGAGTAGACATAGGCAGTATGGTCATGGAAAGAAGAATTACTGTTAAATGTGGATCTCAGTATGATCTGTCAAAAAATAGCCTTTCACACCGTGTTGAAAAATACCGAAAAAATGCATTTTATGAAGATTATAGAGATAATGTACAAAATGCTCACACTGATTATGAAACAGCTGCACCATTAAGTTGTGCTTTACTTCATAAGCAGTAATCTGAAGTATGGAGATTCTGTTTGTCTGCTCAACTTGTATTTTTGCTTAGTAAAATATGAGCATTTTAACAGACATTTATTGTATTGAAAGAACAAAAATCTGCCACACAGGAAATGTACAACCACTGAATAAAGGTAATCTAGATGGAGTTAACACTCTACTTGCATGGAAAATTCTAGAGCAAAGGGTTAAGTCATAGATGTGATTTCCATGAATCATAAATACAAGAGTGAGCAGCATGATATTGCGCTAGCATGTGCTGAAATACAAAAAAGGGAGGGAGAATTCCAATTTAAGATATAATTTCTGATTTTGAAGTATTATTTATTGCTTTAATGCAAATATAAATATAAATGAGAAGGAAATCAAATTAGCTTCAAAGTTAAGAAATGTCAATAATTTTACTAAGCATAAGTAAAGCACACTAACATAAATAAATTTTACATTTACTTTATTCACCTGCTAACATAAGTTAATTTCCATTACTACTTGCATTTGGCTGCTGAAACTATGGAAGTTCCCAGCACAAAACACGCACCTAAAGCAAACAAATACTGGAAGTGCTGCATGCATAAATTGTGCATACAAACTTTAACAAAAGGAATAATAATATAGCTATTTCCACTCACAGTTGTGTTTGTTTCTGAAGATTGACTTTCTGAGTAGAGCTATGAAAGCCTTATATAAGGATTGTTATGCCACAGTTTGTTTTCCCATTTATCATATGGGGTTGAAAGCAAAGGCAAGTCCATAAATGAATGGGAGTTAAGAGCAATAATAATTTTAGAAAACAGGAAGCCCAAGTATCACATTTCTAATAGTCAGTATTAATTAAAAAGTCAATATTAACTAATAAATCTTATTAATGAGTCCCTCCATCAGCATGGCTATAAAATGTTTTCTACTGCATAGCAGGAGAGGGGTATAGAGTTTTCTGAATGTTCATATGATTCACAGTATGTTATAAAAGCCACTTTTATATATTCAATAATGCATATAGTACTCATGAATATTATAAATTAAACCAATAATGAGTTTATCTGTACAGACACATCGACCAATTAATCTGAAAATGTAACTATTTTTATAAATAAAGAAAAGCTAACAATTATTATTTCAACAGTTCTGTTAATTCTGCCCAGATTAAAAACCCAGCTTCTGAAAGAAACTCTCAAAGGCAGAAAAACCGATGAAAAAGGTTTGGGTTGGGTTTGTTTTTTTTTTTTTTGGAAAAGCCCATAGGACTGATGCTGCACAAAAGGAACAACTGACATAAAGATTTAGAAAAATAGCTAAAATAGTTACTGAACACACCTGTGAAACATGGAAAACATGCTTTTCTACAGTAATTACACTAGCCAGGCATTGACATTTGTATTATCAGAGTAAAAGCATGCAAACCATGCTCACTGCACTAACATTGTATTTTGATTCCCAGTTTAAAGCAAATTAGGGGGATTTGTCTTTGCATAACGCTTGGCTATCTTAGGACGCAAATGTTGCCAATCTCAAACCTTGCGCCCATTCTTCTAACAGGATTTCACCTAGAAACGTACATGTAACATATTGCTGCTCTTGCTTTATTTAAATTCTATCCATGCCCAAATTGCTCAACTGGTTCCGAATTACTTCCGTTGTACTAATGATCTCATTTCTTGGAAACAAAAGTGTCGCTTTTCCCCTCATAAAGGTACGTGAGAAAGCAGGTAAAAATATATTGCTTTGGCATAACTGTTGCTGGGAGAGACAAATATCTATCTTATCAGATTCGTCAGAGCAAGCTATACCTTTTATATTTCATTGTAAAACAAAGAACTATTACATGTTGCACAAATACACTTGCTATTTTGTTAATGCTTCACCCTTCCTACTATAATACTGCTGTACCCATACTCACTTCCTTATCAGCAAAATGTGATTTTCAAGAGTAATGTTCATACCTGGCTGACATATGATAGAAAGGCAATAAAGCCATAGCCGGGTTCAAGCTGAAGCTGAATTTATGACACCATTTTGGATCCGTTCACATCGCCTCCCGTCAGTACCTGCCTCTCTCATTTTCAACCACTAGATGGTGTGAAAAAATAAAAGAATTGCCAAGGCTTCCTACCGACTGCCACAAAATCCGATTAATGTTGTGGATTAGGGAATATTCCTTGAAGAAAAGTCTCGACCCACTTCAAGATGGTTAGGTTAACTTTCGCTTTGGTTATATTTCCGCTTACCAGACAAAGAGCTCGTAAATGATCAGACCTTGAAACTGAATCAAGTGGAGGGTTAAGATGGATAATTCTCTGGCACTTTCCCCTCCAAGGACCCTAAATTTAGAGCTGACAGCAGTGGCCAACACTCATTTTTCTGAAAAAGCTGTAACAATCTTTAAGTGAAACGGGACTGAATTTTCTGGGCTGTATTTTGGAGTAGAAATCATTCCCAAAGAGAGAGGCTCTATATATCTGGAGCAGCAGCAAGCCTGCTTCAAGGCCCGATTACGGATTAATCACGGCGTGACCACAGGACAGTTGATATAGAGAGGACAGCTTAAACTACTGTTTTTCTATTTGGCTCCATATTTTATATTAAATTTCTTGCTCTTTTGGAGAAGGAGCAAATGATTTTTTTACCTACAAGCTGAAGATGAAGATTTTATAGTCCACATAACATACCAGAAAAGTGCCACCCACAAAGAGGCCAAACTCATACAGTGGAAAGAATCTGTTCATCGGCTTTTTGGGGGGAGAGGGAGAGCAGGAAGAAGTGGTTATTTTAAATTAGATGCTGTATAACTGCTTGAAAGTCTGCCTAATCCAAGAGTGTTATCCGGCCTTTAGTGATGCAATGCAGTTATTAATTTAAGTGACAATGAAATACTTCTAAAGACATACATGGTCACATTACCATTAGTAATATATCTTCTACATTTTTATATAGGACCATCTTTCTATCCATAAATCTTAAATTTATTTAAAACAGAAGCTGTTACATTTATTATCCAGAAACACTGTAGTTAAAGGTATCAGTGAAGATTTAAAGCAATCGTGATAAAACTGAAAAGTTTGAAACTGAGACAGATGCCTTTAGCTTGCATGCACCTACTTGTATATTTCAATGACCTATGATATCTTTGGCATTAATTATACTGAACAGCAATTACACCTGAGATATATATTCTACATTTTTTTTAAAAGGTGTTTTTTTTCCAATGAGAACTTGAAAAGAGAATTTTTCTTTGATGAATTGTTCAGAAGTAGACTTCAATGGACCATAAGATCCCTATTTTAGGGGAGGTTTTGGTTTTGCTGGGGGGAGGATGGAGCGGGTTAAGGAAAAATAAGAAAATTAAACAACATTAATGTAGAATAAAATTTCATGCTTATACCGCTTATCATCACTTCAGATGAGAGGAATTACATTTCTCAATTGCTTTGCAAACAGGAAAGCGGTGAATTAAAAACTGCCCAAATCTGTCAGCGCAAACAAATTTGGCATCTGAGCTGTCAGAACAATTACAATATACATACAAAGATGAAAGCATAGTTCAAAAAAACAGACCACCTTCTGTAGCAAGATGCCCAAAACGTCAGAATGAGCACAGTCAGGAATATAAAACAGGAAACAAAAAACATAACATACAAGATAATTTGAAAATCTACAAGGTTAACTTTTACAAGCAGAAAGCACATTGTCTCCCATTAAATCAGTTAACAAATGGTAGCCAAGATTTAACAAGTAAATAAACATGCTTTTAAGTCAATTCCTGTTACACAGCTATGTTTTAAACGCGATTATAGTTCATTTGACAAAGTAATTAATTGCAGTGAATATCTGATTGTAAACAAAGGATCTGAAAGGGAGTGCCAGTTTCCCCCCATAGAACTGTGGGAATGTGCCCTTCTGGCATGGCTTGCTTTTTACAACTATGTAGCCCCAGTAGCATCCCATACCTTGCTGAGAATGTAGATAACGTCCCCACGTTTAAATGTCAACTCATCAGGTACATCTCCTGTGCAGTCCCACAGACCTTGATAGAAATTGGCATAATCGGTATTTTTGTTATCTGCAAAGAAAACAGCATTTTATCACAAAAGGATAATGACTGAGGGACTAAAGTACAAAGCAATTTATTAAAGCACACTTCTTACTCCTCTTTTTAGAAACATACCACAAAAGGAAGTGGAAAACAAGTCTAATGTGCAAGCCCTTCTTTTGCAAGTCCTATCACTTTAAGACATGCAGCTACAGGTTTTCAAAGCATTTTCCAGCTGCAATTTAAAGCAGCTAGTTTCCTTCTAGAATATATTTCCAGCAAGCCATATTTGTATCTCAACTTGAAACTGATAAAATTGTTACAGTATAATTAATAATAATCTGTGAAAGGAAGCCAAAGTAAGTATTCCGTGATACGCTCCCCCTCCCTCTCCTGTTCCAACAAAACTAAATAACTTCTCTGAGAACCTTTGAGATAATCCTTGATTGTTCCTTCTGAACTTGGAAACTGTTGCTGAAGCTGCATTTTAAAAATATTTGTGTCATTTCCAGTTTAGGACATTAAGCTCTGGCTAAACATGCAACTACACTACAGTTATAAACTCATCCTTCTAACGGCATAAGCACAATGGATGTGCTGTGTTCAAGCTGCCATACAGACCATTAACTGATTGATTATTTAGCACTCTTTGCTCTGTAATACGGCAATAACACAGTAATAAATGCTTTGTCATACACTTACAATACAGAGTACATCTACTGAAACACAGCGCTTGCACATGGTTAAATACACTGGCTGCTTCTGTTACACTGCAAACCATTTCCTGTTTTTAATTCCATGAGAATGGAGCGTGATGAGTTAATGTAAAAAGAATGTAAGCAATACCACTAAGATGACCAGTTACATTATGTATACACTAACCAGACAGAATGTATATGTACTAATAATTTACATCACTGGAAAGCTATCTTCTAATTCTGATAACATAAATATCACTGAACTGGCTGGATCAAGGCTGTCATCTTAGTTTTGTTATATGAGCCTTGAACAGCAGGCTTGCTGGTTATTCCAGCATATACCAGTTACATTTGCATGTCGTTAGCACTCTACACCATTATTTATAGTTTACAATTTAATCATGATTGGTTCACTTTATTACTGAAAAAATCCTGCTAAAATATCAAGTATCAAGACATATAAAGTGTCACGCTATAAAAAAAAAAGGAGTATTGTTGTTCCTGTTTTGATAGAGACTTCGATTTTAATACTCCCTGTAGAAGCAAGAAGGGCTTGTTTCCTATTTATCCATTTCAGTCCATGTTCTGTCCTGTCTTCCTTTGATGGCAATACTGTCATACTGCTACATATTTACATATTGAATTTAAACTTGCTATGCAAGTTAGCCACTATTTAATTTTCCATAAACTGGTGATTAATAGCTGTCTCTTGATATATAGCACTAGGGGGCGTTCTGGCTACCAGTGCACAAATTCCTTTCACCACACCAAAAGCAGCGATACACACGTACATAGAAACTCTCAACCATTCAGAAATGCGTTATTTGGTTATTGTAAAATGCATAGGCAGGATTATTTCAAGGGGAGGGTGAATCAGTTTGAAATGTTACATCTCCAAATCCCGGTCCTTCCTATTTGTCAGCTCATAATTCATCAGTTTAGCACTAGACAATTATAAAGAGTAACACAGGCTAACACCAAATTAATTTGTGATGAGTATTAAATCAAACCTCTCCTCAGTCTTTTGATACTGCACCGATCCCAGTTCCCAGTTCTATGCCATAAAAGATAACGTAAGGACACATGAGAAAAAAAAAGAACTATTCTGGTATATCCTACCTTTCAAATCTTTCAGCAGATTCGGTTTAAAATACATTAATCAGGACTTTTACTTCTTCAGAACTGAAATTAAATGAAGAATGATTTTTCTCTGTGACCTTTACTACTCTGAACTCTGTTCTTACCTCTGTGTGCCTGAAGTAACTCCTGTTAACACTAATGGGAGTTGCATGAGGAACATCAGCAACAGAAGAGATCCCACAGCAGGTGAGACACATCTCTCTCTAGATGTTCATCATGAGCATTTAGTTAAGCCTTAAAGCGAGAAAGCAACTCAACTAATAACATGGCACCACTGGAAAAGCTGCATTTTAAAATAAGCTTATTGCAACAATGAAGATGTTGCCTAAAGTCTAACCATGGTTCTGTGCCCTCATTTGTGAATTCAACACAAAACAGAGTTGTTTAAATCAGAAAGCCACATTTCTAGGAAAAACACATACCAATATACTGGGAGCACAGAAATGACAGGGACAGGAAGTGCCAGTGCAAGTTTGTGAACAACTGTGCTGGTCTTCCAAGTTTTAATTTCATACTTGAAATCCTATCTTGTACCCACCAGCACAAGTTTCCCAAAATTCTTTAACTGCAACTATGCACGTATAAAAGGTAATTGTAAATTTAACTCCAGAATCTATACATCTAAAGGACAAAATACTTCATAAAATGATTCACAGCACTTCACAAACACAGAGGTAGAACCAAAAAAAAAAAAAAAATGAAAAAAAAACCTCTGCAAAACACAAGCCCATTATTTCTTACTTCAGCCCCTCTTTCAGTTGGGGAGGACCCTGCCAAATTTCATTTGATTGCCCCTGAAGAACTGAAGAAACCAGAACCCGGAGACCTGGGTAAAGGAATTTGGCATTTATACAGTAATGAAATTACATGGGCCTTCTTAAACACATGCAATACCTGAAAACAGCTGGTGGATTTAGTGTCTAGAACTTATATGCCCATTAGAGTTCAGATTCAAAAGGTGTTGATTTGCTGGCATTATTCTGTCACAATTATATTCTATTTTTACACACTCTGAAATGTTGTGTGCCTTAAACATACTATGATGATGTAATTTCTAAATTAAAGCCTGTAGTATTTTGAAGGCATGATCACTTATGCCACAAATACAAGTAAGACAAAACCAAAGAAAATTTAAATGTGTAGCAGCGAGTAGAAAGCAATTTGGTTTTACCTACCCACTGGTTTTAATATTATCAATCACAAGAAATGACTGAGCAGGATTTTGGATAGGCTGTTTCTCCAGGAAACACTTTTTTCATTCCAGGACAGATACCCAGATGAACTATCCAACAGTTTCCAAAACTCTTCCATAAAGAATTCCTCACATGGTTTTCTTCTGTCGTCTCTGTTTTTCCAGTAACAACAGTAATAGGAAAAACAGATATTTTTCTCCAGTATACTGATGAAAACACTTCAGAGTTTATTTGACATATCAAACAGCAAGGGCTGCCAGCCTTCCTCACAGTAGGCTCAGTCTGCATATTTCACTGAAACATACTGGCACCTGACAATAAATGCTTGAAAAAGAAAGGTGACAAGTATCATCAAGCATACTCTTCAAATCTTGTAGACTGTTTAAAACTTAAGAATGCCCGCGGATTATTCAAGGGAAAACAAAATTATAAGAATATTCTAAAAGCCTCAATAGACAAGACAAAAACAAACCCTGGGGAAAAAACAACAGATTAAGAGTACTTATTTCAGAGCGATTTAAGTGTGCTGTCCCATTGCAGCCTGAGGCAATCTATCTGCAGGCTGTTCCATTCCTGACCCCTAATTTTTGACAATTTTGGCACATGCCATTTCTGAGCACAAACCTGTCAGAACACTAAACTGAACAAAAAAAAAAATCAGGAATTATAGCCCAAATACGGAAAAGCACTACTTAAAACATTAGAATAAATGTGACTGTGCCTGATTTCCACTCACCTTCCATTTTAACATTGTTAGCAAACACTACAACAGTAGTGACTTAGGGCTAGAGTTATATTACCTGCTTACACATTCCTTATGGAATGAACATGTATACATGCTTTCTTTTCACCACGGTGGTCGACTGCCCAGTATATTAAACAGCTTGCTACTCTGAATCATATTTCTTGATTCTTGATCAGATTCTTCAAAAGTTTACAGCATCAGATTTGAAGATTACAAATCTGGACACAGGAACAATATTTGACAGAGGTGAACGGTATCCTCTTTTAGTGATGATATGCTCAGTACTTACCATACTGGAGGCTTAAAGATGGGGAGACAGGTGAGGTTCAGAATTAACAGTACCAGAATGACTGTGTCTTATACAAATGATTTAGACTCTCAGTGTTGAGTCTTAATGCCCAGATGAGACATGCCCTGTTAAAGAACAGTTACTTGTTTGCCCTGATGATGTCCTAAATGGCAAAGAATGCCTGTTACTTACTTACTTGCCCTTTCTCCCACATTCCAGAAAAATTATGAAATAAGGGGAAAACAACTGCAGTGTATTTATGCAGACATAACATCTAATCTAGCCTTATTTGTTCAGTATAATCTTTCTCACTTCCCCTCTCCTACTGTTCCTTAGTTACTCTAAAATCATTTACACTGAGACAGCACAGAAAAGGACACTTACTGAAATAGTGATTATGGAAATTATAATGGGTAGATAGTGATACCAAAAAAAGTCCAGCAAGCCATATTACCACTGAAACTCTTCAATGCTTTGGTATATTTAAATAGTTAGGTCACTAGCAATTCATGTAAAGCTATCCAGCAGCCACAGTCAGCATCAAGACTTGAGCATCATTGCACATTAATTGAAGTACAGATTAAGTTAGGGCAAGAAAAGAGTAGGAAAAAAGAAAGTTTTTTGTACTTAACAGGCTGAGCTCAAAAACAATTTACAGAATATTTCCAGGTTTAATAAATTTAGGCAATAAACTTAAGAATGTATGCACTGCTTGTGTGGAAAATCATGAAATATTACTGATTCAAGTTAGATATTTATTATGTGATGCCTATCAGAAATATTGATGCAAACGGAGCCCTAAAAGTCAAAAAAAAAAATCCAGTGTTGAATAGTTAACTAAGTAAGATCAGATCAGAAAATTACTTCTTGAAATGAAATTGGTATCTGTAGAGAGCTGGTATTTTCAAACACATTGCACAAATACTAGAAAGACTGATAAGGCTGCTCCCATAGCTGTTGAAACTTTTCAGAAATGAAGGAGCTAAGGTTTTGATTTCCTAAAAGTAGGAACTCCAAGAAGATCTATTAGGGAAAAAAAAAAAAATGCTGCTGGCAACTTTATAATTGGATTGACCCCATGCTCCAATATGACATCACACTTATAATTACAGTAATGTCTAAATAAGTACTAAATATTAAGGCTGTAATGAGTCATGTTGTTTTACACATGTTTTTAGCAGAGCACAATGCTAACAGCATCTGATGACTTGGTTCTTGTTTCCTTTCCAAGAAAAGCAACCCAAAACTCCTCACAGCAACCTGTTCCTGCTTTCCTGTATGGCTCAGGAAATCAGGCCTCTGTTTCCTCTCCACATGTTGCAACAGGAAGAGCACTGCAGAGCTACTTCCTAAAGGAACTCTTCTTGCCCACCCTTTCCTTGACAGCCCTGAAAGAATTATGTGTATTAAGTACGATGGGGGAAGGAGAGCCAGTTTGCATGTCAGTGCAGGTCACGGTTACAATGCAGCAGATCTCAAAAAGGTGCAAGGTCTGATAAGAAGCAAGTCTTCTCTACTTGCTGTGTCAAATCGCCAACAGTTTATCTAGAGGTCTGTGCCCTTGAAGCACAGATATATCTTGTTTTTAAGCATAACTGGAAATACCTTTCTGTCAAGAAAAGTTGTCTGGCCATGTGACTTTACATGGGGTATTATTTTTCCAGTCCCAGAGATAATTAGCACAAGGGCAGTTTGCCAGACTGAAGCTGAGAGAATATCCTTCACAGCCTTTCTGGGCATTTGTGTCCTTTTCCAATTTTTATGCTGCTGTCACTGGACTCTGGCATTTCTTACCCAATTCATTTGCTTTCTGTGGTAATCATATGCACTGAAGATATGCATGGCCAACATTTAAACAGGCTGCAGATCAATTAGTGGTCTTAAGTTTATCTGATTTTTATCAAAGAAGACAGAGCTTTGGGTCGATTGTCAGAGCCTGTGTCAAGTTGACCTTTTCAGAGACGTCTACATTGCCAGTCCCTTGGGCAACTTGTTGTCCCCTGTTTGTCTCTGAATGGCAGAAGTCTGTTCTGCTCAAGCACAAAGTATACACAGATGTCTATATTAGATTCTTATAGGTTTGACAGCAACTGCATGTTGTATCTATAAACTGTCCTTTAGCAGTGACACTTCCTCAATGATGATAAGCTAATTTATGCAACTAAATCTCCTTTGTGCAGAAATGAAAGCTAATTGAGTCATTACAAAGTAATTCAGGAAGGAATACCTTGTATAAATTGGCTTACTTTATAAATCCTTCTCAAGTGGTTTTCATGCATCCTAAGTGGTGCTAAGCAGTTTTGCTGCCGTCAAATACCCAGATGAAAAAGACAGCTTTACAGAGCTATAAAAACATTATTTTAACACAGCAAAGGGAAGAGACAAGGAAATAAAGGTAAAAAGAAAGTGCATTACACAAAAAAAAAAAAAAAAGAGGAAATATTTTCATTACCTGAAACAACGGTAACTTTCTCCTGGATGAGTTTTCCTGGCACTTCAGCCTTTGAAGGAGTATGTTCTTCTGCAAAACATATAACTGCAAATGAAACTCCGAAGGGACACCTCAGCTGACAGGAATTACAGCCTGCATCAGTCTGAAAGCCACACTCTACATTTCCAGACTGTAAACCCTGTTTACTATTTTGCATTGTACAGAAGTTGGAACATTGTTATTTCTGTGGTTTCCCCCACCCATCCAAACACTCCAAGAGCTTTCTTTCAAAATCTCAATTGTGAACATCTGTTTCCCTTTTCACTTTGCTCTGGATACAGTAAAGCTACAGATCTGCTGGGTTTCATTCATTCTGAGGCAATTAGAATGAGGGTCCTATTCTGCTACATGTATTTCTTACCAGGATAAAGAAAACTGAACTGAGGATCACAGCTCTGAAGCGTGTTTTCTGGCTAACAGACCTGGAACACTGAAATCCCCACAGGCAATTTCAAAAGATGTTCTCCATATTCCTTGTCCGGCACAGACAGGGAACTACTCTCTCATGCCCACACCATCACTTAAGTAAATCCATATTCCACTCAGTACAGGGACAGAAGACCTGCTCCTTACATTTCACAGTCAACAATTCTGTTGATGAGGAAAAAAAAGGGCACAAAGTACAAGGGGGTTTAGCTGTTTTCTTTCCTTATGTTCATAAGGAAATAGAAACAGATTTATCTTGGCCTTTACAGTATATCAAAACTGACAAAGCTGCTGTACTGAATGAAGAAATAGTATACTGATAAACCCACTTCTCAAAGAAGAATTAAGCTTTTAATACATTTAAAGCATTTGGCTTTTATACTCCTCACATTTTACACAGATATTCATGCTTCATTTTAAGACTTGCATTTCAGCAACTAATTCTGATATTAATGACAGACAAAAGATACAGCTTTTAAAATGTTCCTTATTGTAAAACTTCTATGTAATTGCCTATCTACTTTTACAAACAGTGAATTTTATATCAACAGTTCAAAGGATTTTTAGCCTTGTAAAAAAATAATCTATCCACAAGACTGTTCCTGCAAACATTAAAGCAGATGTTTAAAGCACAAGAGCAGACCTGTTGAAATGAGTATGCATTATTGCTGCTAAACTATGTACGCAGTCCTACAAATTACATCATGAGATTCACTCTACAGAGCTCTGAAATTCTGCCCTACTAAGCCAGCAAGAGTTTTTTGCTTTCTGACTCTTGAACAACTAAAAATCTGGTTGAGATCAATATATATCATAGCCAAGGGAAGAAGAAGGGAAAAAAAGGAAAAAGCAAAACAATAGAGCTGGGAAAATGTGAAGCTGCAGTACAACACAAAACACTCTGAACTATTTACTGCGCTCAAATGTATTCCCCTACTTGGCATAACACTTGTTGCACATTCCCAAGTACACTCATTTATTTTTATTTTAAGCACTCACAGTCGGAGTATGAATGGCAAAAATACACCTGTATGTGCTGTCCAGAGCACTAGGAGGCACTGTCATTCTGTGGCTTCCCTACTACTATTACACCACTCACAGGTAGTATTCATCCATTACCGATCACATTTTCTAGAATTGCTCCCTTTTCCAAGAACAACCCAGTTGCATTCAACACGGAGTATTACATTGATTAAATAAATCTTGATGTTACATGTTACTGAATATTTGGACACACATCAACTGATGTGTTGAATGTACTGTGGATTTTAACTCACGATCAACTGAGGACTGACTTTAGTAGAGGGTATTTTAACTGAAGTAACAGCAGAGGACGTTTGAAGAGATGTGTTTTCATAAGGTACAGCTGAATACATGTAGACTGCATTGTGGTTTCATGGAAAAAAATAGAATATATGCATTCCCCTTCCTGAAAAATGTATTTCCTAGAAACAAGAGGTCACCAGATCCATATCTGAAAATGGAAAAATGTCTGAACCAAGAAAATATATGGAAATACTGGAAAGGTCCCAAATTATAGAATAATGGAATAGTTAGGGTTGGAAAGGACCTTAAGATCATCTAGTTCCAACCCCCTGCCATGGGCAGGGACACCTCACACTAAACCATGTCACCCAGGGCTCTGTCCAACCTGGCCTTGAACAAAAATATTCAAACAAAGGCTGTCCATATTAGCATACCTGTTCAGATCCCAACCATCCTCACCTATTCCACTTTTATTTACACTATAGAGTTGCACAGAGAGAACAAACCTTCAGGTGTAATTAGACTGGAAGAGGCATTCCGGAAGCACACTGAACATTGTCCAGCTGCCTATTCACATAGAGTCCATGGAACCAGACTAAAGAGAATCCATAGAAAACCTCTTCTGAAACATGCACAGAACGAACATCAGGTCTTTGGCACAAACTTGTGCTTTATCTGTTGCAAATGGTCCACACTACTTGCTAATGCAATCATACTCACAGTGGAGCAGAGGTAATAGGCTTGGCTTAGGCTGGTAGAAAAGAACCTATGGTTCTTACTAATGTTTTCTGCTATTATGTCCTGAATCAATATGTAATTAACACTAATCAAATCAGTGAACTCCTCTAGAACTGCAGACCCAAAGAGCACTTAAAATACAGGTTATGTTCCATACTCTGCTGGTATTCAGAGATTCTAATGGCAAACCCACAAAATTCTTTTGGTGACAGTGCAACAGAGAGCCAACTATATTTGTTAAGGGTTTTTTCAGTCAGTTCATGAAAGCTGTTGAAAATTATTTACTTACTTAATTTGCAGTCACCCAATCAGACATGATTCTACCATCCACACAATTTAAGAAGTGAACAATGAATTCTACACTAGCTGAGTTTTTTACATTAATCCATTTTTTTTAATTCTAGTTTTTCTTAAAAGGAGAGGGGATAAAAAAAAAAATCAGGCTACTTGAGTATAAAATGGGTAAAGTTTGGCTTGAACAGTGCATTCCTTCAATGGAATGTGGTATCTTCATGATAAATATGCATAAACTTCACAGTTTCCTCTACTAACACATTACTTAACCATCTTTTTACACTAGACTCTAATTTAATGCCATTATTAATTGGTATTTTACTGTCTTCTAGTCTCTTGACACATTGTCATTGCACAATACTAGTTTATACCTCGGATAATCCCAGTTTGTGGGTTAATATATTCAACACTTTAATCACAGTAAACAAAAATAGCTCAGCTATGCAGCAAAATCCACCAAAACACACAGATGGTTATAAGGTTTTCATTGTGTGGTTTCCATAGCAATCATTTTGCAAATCTGGAAGCTTCTTGCAAACAAGCAGCTTGTATTTACATGCCTCTTGACTGCAGCATGGGACTCTACAACATGTGAAGTTGTTATTCCAATCGCATATTGTTAGAAAAATCATTGGGAGATGTTTTGATCAGTCCAGATAAAAACTACTGCAGTGAACTAATTTTTCATCTATTTCATAATGACACAAGCAATCACACGCTTGTAATGCACACTAATACATCTTCATTTGAAATCTCACTGTGGTGTCAGAAGGCTATAAGCATACAAACAGGTTTTGTTAGACAGACTCCCACAAAAATACTTGCATTATTAAACAGTCAAATAAAAAATACAGTGTCTTTATTATTGTACTCAGCAGGGATGACAGATGCATGCAAATACAAAGGTATGAGGAGGAGCTCTGATGACACTGAACGTCATGGGTCTATATTGCTTTGTGCAAGAAAAAGTAAAAGATACAATGGCATGGTAACACTAAGAGTATTACTTCTCCACATCGATTTTTTACTACCAAATAATGACTCTGCACAAATGTAAACAAGAACTTTCAAACATGAATAAATGCTTACCGTGGGAAAGAGTCAAGACTTTTTCTCCCCCAGATTTATAATTTTATGAATTGACCTAACCCCATTACAGATGAATTATTACTCTAATAAGGAACATAAATCAATCCAGCTATGTAATTTTTTTTTAATTAGTGAGAACTTGCTTTTTCACAAACAACAGAGAAACATTTAAGAATTCCAAAGAAGGAGTAATAAAGAAAAAAATCATTTTTATAATTTTGCCAAACTGACACCTTTTGCCAGCATTAGTAGTGCGGGCTATTGACCACCTGGGGTCAAAGGAATAAGAATTAACATCCCTGTTTTATGCAGGACCAGCAACCTGCCTTACCTGAGGACAGCGGTCCCCAGCCTTGGGGATGGAAGCAGTCCTCTGCAGTGTTATCCCTATATATACACACCTGTACATGCCTATATACTTCATCCAAACCAAACTTCTTATGAGGTTTTAGCCTAAGCAGCTTGGTACTCCAGAAATCCTTCACATGTTGCTTCATCCTAGGCTTATTTGCCTTAGTGTGCATATTTATAATGGCAGCGGTTTTCTTTTCTGGTGTCTTCTTTTAGACTCCAGAGCCATCCATTCTGTAGGGAGAGATCTCCAAATCCAAGAAGCAAAACTCTAGCTTTGATATCCTCCAGTATTCCCACAGATCCGCCCCTTTCCCCCAGTTCCTCCTGGACATGACAGATTACTGGAAGATTTACACACAACTTCTTGACATTTCACCCTGCATTCCCAGTAGCACTCTGGTGCACTCTGTAAACAAATGAAACAGCTTGGAAAAGGCTGCTGAAGGCACTATTCTCTAGCCATGGTGTGAGATCTGGGGGGCGGCAGAGAGAGGGAGACAGACTATCATTTTGTTAAAGCTTCATCTGACTGAACCACGGTGAAGGTTTGTAGATTAAAATCCTCTTCACTACAGTGCTAGAAGTTAGAAACAAGCTGGTTGCTATTTAGAGATGATGTTATAAATGTAAGAATTTCTTACTATGGCAGAAGAGTTCTTGTTTTATTCCTACTTCTATGGGTCAGCCAGTTACCACTCAACAGCTCAGAAAGAGAAATTATGTCCTGCATGACAAGCTTAAGTGAAAAAAAAAAAACCAAACCAAAAGCCCAATATCCACAACACAGTCGGAAAAGACAGACAGAAAAGGGTGATCCAGACACAGGCTAAAAGCTGGAATTGCAGATGAGGTGACATCAAAAT